TATGACATCTGAGGGCAGAACCGGTTTTCCCACCACAACCTTCTCCTTTTTTTTTTTTTTTTCTCCCCAGGTTTGGTGTGCAGGTGGTCACATATCACATTACTCAAAAATAATCAGATAAGTACCAGCAGCGAGATGGTTGGTGTTTTCTTCATGAGATTCCTCAAGAAAAACCGGTTTTGGACCAAAGCCAGGAGGCGATCCGGGTCCAGCACTAACACGCTGCCCTGCCCTTGTCCCGGTGCAGTGAGGTGAAGACGGCTGTGATCAGATTCAGGCACCGGTAACAAAGGCAGCAGTAACGTGCATATAATGCCCTCCTGTCCCCTTTGCCTTGCATTTTGCCGTCGGAAAATTAGATCTCCTCGAGACTAGTGGAAATCTATTGCTTGTTGCTAACTTGGATGAGGCATGTTCGTGGACAAAATCATTACATGTGCAAATATGGAAAACTTTGGGTAGTGCTGGGGGAATGAAGGAAAGTGGTGTCTCTCTGAGCTAGATTCACACCAGTTAATCTTAATACTCAGTAGCTCATTTTGCAAGTTAAAAAACTAATTTCCAAATAAAATTACATAGTAAATTTAACATGCTGAAACCCATTTTGTTTGCTGTCATGTCTCCTCTCTAAGAAACAAGATTAAATGTACAAATCAGGAAACATCTTTATGATCCTCAACTACACACTGAAAATTTCCCAGGAACATGAGATGATGTGATTAAGCACCACATAATCTGTTTATTTAGCAGATTTAACACATTTTAATGTACTAAATCCATTCCCTCCTACCACCCAGTTATGCCATGCTATAGGTACAGCAATCAGTTACTTCCCTATAAACCAACTATGGATAACTAATCCTAGGTTAGATTGATCATTACTTTGAATTTAAACCATACTTTTTCCTCACTTTCACGTCTTTTCAATTCCCACTACTGCAAAATGCAGTGAAGAAAAGTATTCTAGAGAAATTCAAGCTTTTGTAGCATCTGAACATTAACGAGTTCTGCTTCACAGTGTCTCTGTAATGGCTGTAGGATCATTAAAATCTAGTTATGGAGGAGAGAATGGGACCCCATAAAATGACTGCGTCTCTTGCCCAGTCCTGTTCTGCACAGAACTGGTAAGAACTCAGGAGCGCCAACCCCTACACCTACACTACTACCCCTGTCCCAAACCCCCTTTCTACACCAACATACGACTGCAGAACCTCATAAACAGGCAATGCTTTAAAGAAATGATGCAAATACGATGGCAAAATAATAAACCACTGATATGCCGTTACTCTAAGGCTATTCTTAAAAGCTGAGGCACTTGGTGGTACAGTGAAACACAGAGTGAAGTGGGATTTCTTGGGTAGGAATCCCTCTTTCCAACAACTAGCCGTATGCAAAGGGCGCAGAGTCGCAATGAGGTTCATGCACTGACCTGGTTCTTTTCATGGACAGAACAGAAAGCACTGAGCAGCACCCTAACGATGGGCAAGTGATTATAACGAGCAGCCACATGCAGACAGGTATCTCCTGCCTGCAAACAGAAACAAAGCTCTGAGCATGTAATTGCAGTAAGAAAGCTTGCACTTGTTATGGTGTTCAGGGATGAAAGAATCCTATTAAACCAAAAAGAGCAGTAAATGCCACACACCTCCATGGAACAGCAATGCTGTCTTCTCTGCGGTACAAAATGTGTGAGAATGTTTAGCAAGAGGTCAGGCAAGGTGGGGGTATGAATTCTTTAACCACTGATGGGAAATACTGGCATTATAAAATGCTCATTTACTGCACTACAAAACCGGATTTACATTTTTACATTAAATCTGGTCTTCTGAACTGCAAACCAATGTGATTTGGAAACTCAACTCGGTGTTGCACATAATGAAGAAAACGTGAGGAGTGGGGGCCAGAGCAGCATCCCCACGAGGCAGGCACATGCACAGCTGGGACTGGGAGCAGAGCCCCACAGGTTTCCATTTCTGCGTGCCTCTGCCCACCTTTTTATTGAGCAGGAACAAAAACATCTGGCGTCCTTTTGTAGAGTTTCTCTCATTTGTCATGCCAGAATCATTATAAAATAGGAGGAAAGCTGTCTGAAATTGAAAGTCACCTTGAATCTACCCCATTTGACAGACCAACACACAGTATATAACATCTGTCTCAGAGAGGGCACGTCTGAAGGCTTTCGCTGCTCTGGCACAAAACCCCTTTAAGATTTCCATCTTTTTGAGAGAGGAGCCCTTTTGCAGAACTGCATGACAGTATATGGGTCAGGCCATCAGGACCACAAAAAGCAGCAAAGAACCAGCTGCCTTGGTCTGTGTGACAGCAAAATGCCCTTTGGCTCCTTGCATCCCCACTCAAGAGACAGGTACAAGTAGTGCATCGCTCAGTCTTATCAAAAGCATTCCTGTACGTGATGTACACAATGGTTTGTTAGTGGGTTTTTTTCAATAGCATTTATAATAAAAATTACAGTTTAAAGCACTTTTGAGTATTTCTAGAAGTTAAAGCAATATAGCTAAAAAAAAAAAGGCACACAAAAATGAAGACGTTCTTTTCAAAACTCACATTATTTTTGAGGTCTGCTCGAGATCCTCCAAGTAACAAAACACGAGTACTCTGGGAATGGCTATTCTGGCAAGCCAGGTGAAGAGGTGTGTTACCTGCCTTAGAGAAATACAGGAAAATATAAAAGCCATATTTAGAAATTGGACATAAGCATTAAAAACCAAAACCTCACAGGTCTTCCCACAGGAAGATCCACTGTCACTGTTATTTTCCTGAAGATATGAGCTGAATGAACCTGGAGACTGAAATACACTTTCCATCCTGGAAATAATTTATCTTGGATATAATAAAGGCAGAAATTGGCCAGTCTAACGAGATCTGCATTGCTCAAGTCTGTCTGCAGGAAGCAAAGACTCTAGAAACTGTCTGGTTCATTAATATCAAACAGCACTATCAAATACTTAATTTAAAGAAATATAATTCTTGTGTTTCAGGTTTCCCCCATGCACACACAGAAAGAAACACGCTGCCAAGGCACAGCATCTGTGATCTCAAGCAAAGTCGGCCGTGACTGCTGCAGGGTGTTAGGCAGACGAGGGTCATGAGGGTTTCTTTATGATCATAACACAAACCAGCTCCAAGTCTGGCTGGGTCTGTAGGTGCTCCCACAGGGCAGGATGAAGATTTTAGGCTATCAGGAAGCTTCAATGTTCAGAAAGCATACCAGTCTCCAACTAAGATGAGAAGGGAAAAAAAAAAGCCACCCAAACCCCAGAGAATCACATGCTAAGGTTCCTGAAAGAAGCAAACATGCAGTTTTTATGGACAGAAATCAAAGAAGAGTTTGCTTGTCTTTCTAACCCTGTGAAGTGTTTTATTGGTCTGACAAGTTTTTCTGACAGCATTTGGCTTTTGTTGGCCTGAAAATGTTTGGGATTTTTGGCTCTTGGGAGCTAGAAATGAAATCCGCTCAGGTGAAAAGGTTTCCCATGCTTACTAGGCTGCCTGTTCACCTTGATTATGTCCTTTAATTTGTCCCCTGTGCTTTCAAGACACACATCAAAGCAGCAGGGTTTGAACTGCAAAAGGCCATCTCTTAGGTGTGGTCTTAGGTCTTCAGTTCCACATTACAGACTATTTCAGGTCTGAATGTAGTCTCTAAGCTATGACAGGCATGAACATTTTCTTTCTCAGCTAAATTGCATTTAGGTGTCAATTTTTTCCCTCCTGGGTTCATCTCTGAAAAACCTCTCCAATGTCTTTATCATTTGCTGTTTGGAAGGTCGGCCCTGGTGGGAAGGCAGAGAGGTCCTGCGCAGTAGGTGATGGGCGAGGACCTCGATGCTGGGAGAAGTCACGGTGCCGGTGCCTGGGGTCAGGGCTCACAGAGCAGGCTCATCTGGCTCGTCTCCCACGGGGTGACGAATCTCTCACCAGCTTCTGTGAGAGGGAGACTGGGTCCGAGTTGTACCGATCTGGGGTCTTCACTGGTCTACTGAATCGTCACCAAAATGTAGACTGATGGAGGGTCTAAAAAGAAGGCTACAACTGATCTCACGGGATGATCTATTACCGTGGAAGAGTTTTTATTAAGCCAACTTGACTGAAAATAAACTGCATCTCCAGGGTGACTGCTGCACAGGAGGAATACAGCTACCCAGGTGGTTTACCCTCATGTTGTCCCATTCCTCAAACGCCTGCCTGACTTGCCTTTAAAATCCCAGGTGTCCTGTCTGGCCTCTCCACTTCACTTAATATAGAAACCATCTTCAATCACATTGTTCTTTTATACACTGTGCTCAAGGTGCTGTGCTGCAATAAGTGCATCCATACAAGCGTTCCCCAAGCAGTCCCAGGAGGTATTTAACCAGGAGTTACAGAAAATGCAGAGTCAAATCCCTCCCATCTTCTGCTGCTTAGCAGGGTTTGGCAAACCTAGCAGCCTGTATCTGTCCCATCCAGCCATAATCGCACAATGCCCAGGTGAAGTCAACAGCCCATAGAGTGCTCCTGCACATGGCACTCAGCCCTGGCTGCCAGAAAAGCTGTCAGAAAGATTATGCCTTGTTGTCAGTAACATAAAAAGTTCAGAGACCAGAGAAACCATTTTGGGATTAAGCAGAATTAAGCTCTTCATTTTTCTTGAAAGCAAAAGGGGCAAAAGCACGTGCATGTGTGCAAGCATGCATAATTTCTGCATTTTTCAGTGGCTCCTGAGAAAAGATCCTGTCCATTAAAAACCACCCAAATGGTGAAATGCAAAGGGAGAGGATTGTGTGGGTAAGACATCAAAGACCAGCGCAGGAGCTGCTCACGCAGTATTAAAGTCTGCCAGTCATATTTCAGACATCAACCTTGTTGAGCTACTCCGTGCACATACTTTCCAAGAGAGGCTGTCTCCAAACAGTTGACATACGCTGTATTGTAAGCTAAATCTTCTAATACCGTGAGGCATCCAAGCATGCAGGATAACCAGACTTGCATCTTAAGCCCACACTTTTGTACATAAGTGTGCCCATATATATGGCCATACGGAGCATAATGATTCACAGGACTATGAAGTCAAGCACTATTGCCTGTTATGTGTAAGCATGGGAAGTTGTCTAAAGTACCTCTGATACAAATCTAGGTGAACATTACAGCAAAAAATAATTACAGAAAATAAAAATTGGAAGTTGGAACAATATAAAAGAAGGAATAGATATAAAATAATGTCACAGTAACTACAGACCACAAATTGACCACAATTGTACAAACATATGCATATATACTGGATATATGGACACATGCACATACAGAGACACTACGCCCAGGCAATGTGCCTTTTTAGTCCAAATCTTGGACCTTGGCCACCTGTCTCCCTCCTTCCCTTTCTTTACTAGCCCCTTTCAGTTGTCATTTTAGAGACACGTTTTCCAAAAAAATGCTCAGGGATCCCATAAAGCCATCCCAAAGCTCTCTTGCCTGTAACGAAGGACATGGTGCTAACCGTGTGATCTGACCAAACCATCAGCACAGCGGTCCAAACCCTAACTCAGCTCACACCATAGGCTGCTACTGCCATTTTCTAGACAATTCCATTAACTTTTGAATTAGCGAATTGAAGACAAGTTTCCCACAGGTATTACAATTAGAGTGGAACTAAAACCCCTTGCTTTGTTATTCTTTCCTCTAAACTGCTCTCAAGGTATTATAAATATCAAAAGGAAGAAAATCCAGGTTCATTACAAGATTTGGTAAGAGCCTACACTCATGTATTAGGAAGAACTTTCTAACAAAAGATACACTACATTTTTCCCTCTGTGGCTTACGTGCATTTGGCTATTTAATTTCTGGAAAAAAAAAAATGGATTTTGAATGCCATTTTCCTATTAGTACGATTCGTTCTCATTTTAAATCAAACCAATCACAATGAATCCACTCAGTATAAATTAGGGCACCGTGGAGATTTCACAGGAATTGCAGTGCTTCTCAGCCATAATTAATGTATCACTCAATGCGCTATTGAGTTCCTCCTGCATCAGCTGTCAAAATACGGACTTCCTAATGCCTGTGGAGGAACCATCCAGGCATAATAAGTGCAAAAATAGAAGAAAAAAATCACACCAGGAGCTGGTCCCCCACCCGCTGAGAAATGCCATGGCCAGAAATCTTCAGTGCTGAGAATCAGCCACATTACACCAGAACTGAAAGCTCCTCCTGCATGGGTCTCACCTTGTTCTTGGCAAGAACATTGGCTCCTGCTTTAACCAGCACTTTGGCAGACTGACTGAATCCATGCCAACAAGCTTCATGAAGAACGG